GTTGTTTGGCAGGGCCGGGCTGGATTTGAACCTGCCACCTTGGGTGTATGTGGCTGGCAACTTAGCCACTTGAGCCACAGGCGTTGAGCTGCATGTGCCATTTTGACAGACCCCACTGACTTCCCCTCTGTGAGGGCTGCACCACACCATCTGCACTCTCACAGCAATGCCCAAGAGGGTCTCTCTCAGGCCTCATCAAAGCAGCATACTGCCAAACTGCAGGACTTGCGCCTGAGTGCTTACATGGTATAGTAAGCATTGTATATTGCGGCTGAATCTGTATATTTTCTGTATACTTAAATGTTTAAAAACATTTACAAATTCCTAATCATGTTTTGATCTGCTTGTGCTGTGTATTACCAGGAGAATCTGAGAGTTCCTTAGAGAAAGACACTAAAAGCTTTGTAAATTTTTTTTTTTTAATTGAATGGTAACTATGTACATTAATGCACTTCAAAGCTTTGTAAATTAAAGAGAGAGAACCACCAAGCGAGAACTACGCACATCACTTGGCTTTGACAAGTACGTCAATGCCATGGTTATCGTAAATTTTAATTCTAGAAATAAAATATAAAACTCGGTTTGCATAGTGCCATGGGTGAACAGTATTTAATTACTAATACCTTCCACATGCAATGAATAATGATTTTGATAATTCTAGAAAAAAGAGAAAACACATTTTCACCAATCATAAGAATCCTTTTACTTTGATTAGAATTATGCTCGTTGACATTTTGGGAAGTAAAATCACCAATGTATGCGTTACATCTCCTCTAGGATTTTACTACATAGCCTGAGGTGCAAGATTAAAAATGAAAGAAAATGACAATTTGCCAAAAGAACCAAATGATGCACAAGTTTACCTTTCCATTTAGCAACCAGCTTAGGATCTGAAATTGTGAAGTTTGGACGGCTTTTTGAAAGAATACCTTTTCCAAAATAACCCTTCCAGGAAGAGAAAAAAGAAAGTTAGTTCACATTTAGTTACCAGTTTTTTAGGTAAGGCAGACTCTACAGTCATCCCGCCACATCTGCAGGGTTTTAGAGCGTTTTAGAACTTCCCCCAGGGATGCCAAGTCCTTCGATGTAAGTTCCTGATATATAATGGCACAGTATTTGCATAGCCTCCCATATACTTTAAATCATCTCTAGATTATTTATAATACCTAATGCAATGTAAATGCTATGCACATAGTCATTATACTATGTGGTATAGGGACAAAAAAAAAAGTCAGTATACATCTACATTCAGTACAGACACAATTATCCCCCCCAATCTTTTCATTCCGCTGAATCTGTGTAATCTACTTAACAAGAGTTTCACCCCACTTTTCAGTTTCCCTCTCTGTCTAACAATTACTGACGCTGCTCTCAGCGTATTACTTCTCCAACCATTTTTAGGGTACTAACAAGTTTTTAGCGCACCTCATTTATCCCATCGCCAGTGACTCTAGTCTAGGTCTACCAGGCTGAAGGCAGGCACAGGGCAAGCTTCTTCTCATACGTGGTTCATGAACACAGTGTGCCTGAAAGTAGGAGCCATGCCACTAGGCGCAAAAACCTTCTGGAGTCTTCTGTACTCCAGAATTGAAGTACTCCTCTCATTTCAGCTGATTCCAAAAACAACATCTATTTCTCCTCCTTTATTATTTATTTATTGCAGTTTTTGGCCGGGGCTGGGTTTGAACTTGCCACCTCCGGCATATGGGGCCAGCGCTCTCCTCCTTTGAGCCACAGGTGCCGCCCTATTTATTTTTTTGAGACAGAGTCTCACTATGTCACCCACACTAAGAGTACCACAGCATCACAGCTCACAGCAACCTCAAACTCTTGGGATTAAACTATTCTCTTGCCTCAGCCTCCCAAGTAGTTGGGACTACAGGTACCTGCCACAACACCTGGCTATTTTGTTGTTGTTGTTGTTTAGCAGGACTGGGCCGGATTCGAACCTGCCACCCCCAGTTTATGTGGCCAGTGCCCTAACCACTGACCTACAGATGCCGGCTATTTTTTGGTGGTAGTTGTCATTGTTGTTTAGTAGGCCTGGGCTGGGCCCAAACCCGCCAGTCCCGGTGCATATGGCCAGTGCCCTAACTACTGAGCAACAAGCACCAAGCCCTCCTCCTTTAATTATAAAATATTTAAACACATATTGGTGGGACTGCAAACTAATATAACCTCTTTGGAGGGAAATATGGAGAATCCTCAAAGAATTCAAATTAGACCTCCCATTTGATCCTGCAATCCCATTAGTAGGCATCTACCCAGAAGAAAAAAATCATTTTATCATAAGGGCATTTGTACTAGACTGTTTATCACAGGTCAATTTACAGGCGCTAAGATGTGGAAACCACGTAAATGCCCCCCAACCCAGGAATGAATTAGCAAGCTATGGTATATGTACACCATGGAGTACCAGTCAGGCATACAACAAAAGAGGGAGACTTGACATCTTTTCTATTAACCTGGATGGAGGTGGACCACATTCTTCTTAGTCAAGTATCACAAGAATGGAGAAGCAAGAATCCAATGTACTCAATACTAACATGAAGACAGGAGCTGAACTAATTACACTCCGACATAAGAGAAAAACTCAAATCAGTTCTCTGACGTGATGACAGGCATGTCTGTCTTCATATCTGTAACAACAAACAAGTTCTGGGGAGTGGGAGAGGGGAGCAGGAGAGGGGAGATGAGTGTGTTCCCACTTACGGGTACAATGTTAGGGAGTATGGCACACGTCTTGGGGGTGGGATGCAATTATAAGAGGGACTCTACCTAAAAAATGCAAACATTGTAACCCAACTCTTTGTACCCTCAAATTCACACGAAACAATAAAAAAACAATTTAAACACACAGCAAACTGAAATAAAACAAACACCCTTTACCCTCCACTGATATGTAACAGAGTGAATGGCACGTACGCCTCTCGCTTAAAGTTACATATGGCAAATGAGGGTTTTGCTGCTAAGCTGTGGGGGATGGCGTCCCTGGCCTACTCAGACTCCCAATCACCAGGGTCAGTGCTACCCGCTTTTCTATAAAATGGCTAAAGAGGCACATTTATAGAGACAGGAAGCTGATAAATGGCTGCCTTGGGCTGGAAGTGGGAGACAGGATTAAGTGCAATCGGCACACAGAAACTCTGTGGTGATGGGAACATTTTAAAATTGGATTGTGGTGAGGGTTGCACAACTCTGACAATCATTTAATTGTACACATACAATGGTAAATTTTATGGCTGTAAATTATACCTCAATAAAGCTATTTTAAAAAATGCCCCCAGCAATGAAGAGACCATGGAATAAAACAACAACAAAAAGAAAGCTCCCAGTCTTAACCCCAACCTACCACTGCTCGAAAACAGTAAAGCCTAGAACTTGTCCTCGTCTAAGACCAGGTTCCCAGACCCAGGTAAGGAGCGACATTCCAAAGTCTCACCTGATTGGTGCCCGAGCTGGAACAACATGCCAGTCTGTGGTTACCTCTGCAGTGGAAAGTGAGTGAGTGGGGATTTTCACTTTTTACCTCTCACATTCCATAAATTACCTTTTTTTTTTTTTAAGCAATCAACATGCACTGCTTTGATAATTCGAAGACAAAATGGTTAATCCATGGCCCCTACTTCATGACTAAAATACTAATACAGGTTTGTGGGTTGGGGCACTCCATCTGTCGTTTTATTAACTTTATAGCTTTGGGGCATGTGATTCAAATTGTACTGCTCTTATACTGGACCAGCTGCCAGGAAAGAATGTGCACCGCTTATGGTTTGTTTGGGGTGGGGGCTGGGTGGACGGGATGGGGAGAAAGAAGGAGGACTGCCTTCTCGGGGTTGTCAGAAGGTGACCGGTGACCGCACACAGGGCCTGCACTCACTTTCCTGTACAGCTGCTCCATGTCCTGTGGGCTCCTCACAATCACCCAGTTGTTAACCATCTCCGCACGGAACAGCCTGAATTCCTTCTCAAGACTTCGGTCCTGACCGAAAGGGATTGGCCATGGAGACTCGTAATTCTCATACACCCTTCTTTTCCTTTTGGGGGCGTGAAATATTGCTTCTGCCATTTTCCTGGAGAACTATCCTTTAGAGAGGGGACAAGGAGCAGAAAGAAACAATCGGTCAATAATCATGTTTATCAGAAATGTTCAGTGTGTTTATATATAGGGTAAGAAAACTGTAGTCTGTGGGGGAAACACAGTATTTATAAAGCAATGAACTAAAAGACACAGAGGAGTAAGAACAGTCCATGTGAGCAGTGTAAGTCACATTCACCTTTCATTGCAATTAATCGTCATAGCAGCGCCCAAGAAGTCAGTGGTATTATATCTCCCCACTGAAACCTAGTGACATGGTCCAAGTCTCAAAGCTAAGTCTCCTGAGAACAAGCATAACAGGATTTCTGCCTCTCAAGATTATGTCCATTCTTTCCATTAGCCAACAGACATTCACTGAGCACCTACCAGGAGATCCTAATAACCCCAAGTGCTGGGGATATACAAATAAAACCAAGAGAGACCCTGTCTCCAACAAATTAAATCTAGCAAGCAGAGTACTTCATTTTCCAAAAAAGGGATCTTAAAATACATTCTAAATATTGGGTCAATCATCTCCCAATTTTTGAAGTAAATGAGTAAGTAATAAGGATGGCAGTGTTATTTAAGGGTCTATTATATACCGCTAAATAAATGCTAGAGCATTTGAGCAGAGATTCCAGATTACAAGGTCTGGAAGTGACTTCACCCTTCCTAGCTGTGTGATTTGTAAATCTCTGTGCTTTGGCTTCCTTATCTGCAAAATAAGAGCAAAATCAGACCGTCTTATATTTAAGTGCTTAGAACAGCACCCGGCACACAGTGAGCACCACACAGGTCTCAGCTACAATTTTTACTACGGGATGAGCACTGGCAGGGCCACCTAATCAGTGAGGAACTAAATGCAGGTAAGAGAGACGTGTGAAGGGCCCCGAGAGAGGCAGCACTGGGTGACACCGTGTCTGGCAAACTGAAGCCCACGCCCTTCTCTCTGGGAGCTGCTTTAAGCAGAGTAGCATCTGTCCACTTTTGTATGACAGCTATTTCTCAAAGTCAGAAGCTAAAGGGTTACCGAGCAATGACGGAATTACCAACTGTGTACCCAGCACTGTGCAGGAGAAAAGGAAGCTAAAGCCAGCACCTCTCCCTTCCGGGCTCACAGTGGACCTGAGGAGATAAAACAAGCATATAATACCCGTGAAAGCAAGTCGGAGGTAACAAAACTGGCTGCGATCCATTAACAGCCAAAGGAAGGAAGTAAAGCTGAGTGCTTTGTGTGATGCAGACACAGAACCACAGCAGATGCATTTAACTTAGAGAAACGTAACCGTAGGGAGGGAATAAAACATAAGGTTGCAAGAAGTTCTGCTTACTCAATGAGCAGATGCTCTGAACTGAGACGGAGGACTTGAGCCTGCTGCTCCCTCAGTATTAAGTCTGGACTTGATTTCTTTCTTTTTTTTTTTTTTTTTTTTTTTTGAGACAGAGCCTCAAGCT